GGATGCAGAAAAGCCTGGCAGCTCTGCTCCTGATGCCTGTGGTGTGCAGTGCCCCCACAATGGCCTCAAGCTGCTTCTCCCAGGCAGGAAGGGGCAGGGAGGTCGGAGGAGGGTGGATTAGGAAAAGCATTTCTTTCCATGGCTGTCATTTCAAGGAGAACCAAGGGCTCGCAGTGGCAGGAGAGGAAGTGTGCACAGGTGAGCAGTGGCAGTTTTCTGCTGGCCTGGCACCACCCCTGGCTGCAGTGCTGCTGCTCAGACTTCCCTCCCTAAGCACCTCTGCGTGCGAGGCACTGAACCTGACCCCTTTTCTTGGTGGAAGCTCTCTTGGTTCTGCAGATGTGAGCACGGAACAAAATAAAAATACCTGCAGTCTGCTGGGCATGGGGGAGGGAAAGGAGCTGACAGAAAAAGCCCAGTTCTCTTAAACTGCCCCACCAAAGAGAGCCTGTGCTTCCAGCTCTCAGCCTGAGCTCCCCCAGATGTCACTGAAGGAGACTGTCCCATCTGTACCCCTGCCACCCTGCAGGGGCCCTGGGTCTCTCCAGCAGCTTGCAGGAGGCCAGGAGATGTCACTGCCAGGACAAGGGGTCCCCTCTGCCTGGCTCCCAGCAGAGGGAAGCAGCAGCTCACCAACCTGAGCTGCCCTGTGCTCCTCCAGCCTTGGCGGCAGGAAACAGCCAAATAAAACCCCACAGCGCCTGCCCGGGTAAAGATTGATTTCTCTTGCTGCTGGACAGTAAAACTTGGGAGTAGTAGGGGATTGCTACCTGTAATTGCACCAGCTAGTCCTACCTGCAAGCTCCGTCCTTCAGCTCGGGTGCTATTCCCAGTTCAGTCCCTGCTGGATTCCTGACGGAGCAAATGCTGAGGCTCGCTCTGTGCCTTGGGATAGATTAGTGGGATGAGTGAATTGGGAAGGATCTTCCCTTTTACTCTCCGTTGTGCAGGAGGGTACTGGAGACCCTGCTTTTCTGAGGGAAGTAAGTCCAGTGCTGGTGGAAATGCTGATGGGAGTGCAGATGGATGAACTTGGTGAACTGTAGGTGGCCCCAACTCAGCCCGAGGGAGCAAACGGAGTGACTGCAGCTTCCTGTGACTCTTTGCTCTTATGACCCTAGCCCAGAAGTCTCTCTTTTCTCTTTTTGCCTCTTTTTGATCCGAAACTGGGTCTCCAGCTTGCTGCTCTCCATTTTTTCCATCAGCTAATTGGCAGAATCCCTGTGCCATCCAGCCCTGCTCCTGTGGGTGAGTGTGACAGTGTGACCCCAGAGAGGAGGAACACAGTTCGGGAGATCAGCAGCTCTTTAAGGGGTGTGTGCTTGCTACAGGAGTGATGTGGCTGCCATGTCCTCAGCAGCATTTCCCCCCTGAGACTACAGGAACAGGTTTTTCCATTGCAGAAGAAAAGCAGAAAATATGTTTCAGTCCCTCTACTTTGGCTTTTGCAGCCGAGTGGAACTCAGCGTGTCTCAGTCCCTCAGTGCTCCAAGTCCTTTCTAACAGGGCAGCAGCAAGACCTGTCAAGCGTTGAGATGTACCTGCACCTGCCAGCTGAGCCTTCCCAAGGAACAAAAATCCACCTCTTGCAGCTGGTGCATGTCTGAGCAGGACCGGACTGTCAGAGGGAGGGAGGCACTCGAGTGTGGCACTGAAGTGTCACTGGGAACACTCTCAGCTGCCTGGAACATCGTCCCCCGCTCTGTGCCGTTCCCATGTCCCTGTCCCTGCTGCCCGTGTCCGTGCCCGGTGTCCGTGTCCGTGCCTGGTGTCCGTGTCCATGCCCGCTCTGTGCCCGTGTCCGTGTCCGTGTCCGTGCCTGGTGTCCGTGTCCATGCCCGCTCTGTGCCCGTGTCCGTGTCCGTGTCCGTGCCCGGTGTCCGTGTCCATGCCCGCTCTGTGCCCGTGCCCATGCCCCTGTCCGTGCCCGGTGTCCGTGTCCCCGCTGTCCGTGTCTGTGCTCCTGTCCGTGTCCCCGCTGTCCGTGTCCCGCTGTCGGTGTCCCCGCTGTCCCGGCGCTGCCTCGGCCCGGGCGGGCTCAGGAAGAGCCTTCCCGGGGCTTGTCCGGGCTTGTCCGGGTCTGAGCCCGCCTCTGGCCGAGCGCCGCGGGCAGCGGGGCCCCGGTCCGCGTCTGCGGCAGCCCCGGAGAGCCCCGGGACAGCCCCGGGAGAGACCCGGCGGAGGAGCCGAGCCCCGAGCCCCGGTACCTGCTCTGACCCCGGTGCCTGCCCGGAGCTCCGGTAAGCTCTGACCTCGGTACCTTCCCCGAGCCCCGGTGCCTGCCCCGAGCCCCGGTACCTGCTCTGACCCCGGTACCCGCTCTGACCCCGGTACCTGCTCTGACCCCGGTACCTGCCCCGAGCCCCTGCCAGCCTGTCCTACCGGGGTTGACAATGTCTCCTTCTCCTTTCTCTCCCCTCCCTGTTCTGCCTCCCTTTCCCCGGATTTGGGATGCCGGTCGGTTTTGGGGGACCCCGGCAAGCGGCAGCTGTGTGCCCGCACTGACCGAGTGCAGCTGGGCAGGCAGGGCTGGGGGTGCAGAGCGAGGAGGGGTCCCCAGGAGGGGTCCGAGGAGGGGTCCGAGGAGGGGTCCCCAGGAGGGGTCCCGAGGAGGGGTCCCAGGAGGGGTCCCCAGGAGGGGTCCGAGGAGGGGTCCGAGGAGGGGTCCCCAGGAGCTGTGTGACACCAGGCCCGGGACTGCTGTGGGGTTGGGCTCTCTGTGGTGCCCTGTCGGGTGTTTACATGGGGAATGTAAAGCTGGGTGCCCCATTCCTCCTGAGGGGCTGCAGCTCCTCCCCTCCCCTGCCACGCTTGGCACAGGCTGTCCTCTCCATCCTGACTCCAGAGCTGCTACCTGGCTCAGTGTGTTGCCTCCAGTTGCCTTTGTGCTGAGAGGATAAATAACAGAGCTCAGGTGCTCACATGGGGCAGGAAAGCTCTGCTTTGCCTTTCTTCTGACCACGGGCCCACCCCTGCCTTATATCTGATATCAAATGCATTCATTTGTAAGCAGCCTACCTCTCATCTGTACAGTCAGCTGGATATTTTATTAGCTCTATATATGCCAGGGTATTTTGGAGTTTCCAAAAGCAGTCAGTTTTGTAGGCAAGTCTGTGTTCCCTTGTATTTTGAAGGTAAACCACCAGTAATCTTCTAGGAACTGGTACAGATCATTTCTTAATGCAAATGGAGAGAAGTTCATAACACATGAGCCATTGTTTTGTTTCCAAAGAGAGACTCAGCTGAAGGGGCTTATACGAGAGTGGGGATCTAATTCAGCTTTCAGGTTTATATATTTCTTTTTGTTTTCATTTGAATATATTGTGGGAGAAGTGACCAGGCATTTAACCTATGCCCAGCCTTCCTGGAGCAGCCTTCCCCCTGAAAAAAGAATCCTGCACCCAGGGGACCAGAGAGGGCTTTGGTAAGAGAAAATAGAGTTTAAAAATTTGTATGTTACTGAAAATGGAGTTGGAATCTTTCTGTGGAGCCTTCCTGCAGATGTTCCCCTGGTGATGGAAGTCTGCTGCTGCACCTCCACAGGGGAAGCAGCTGAGGTGCAGGACGCTCTCCTTGTGTGCAATAGTGCAGTGCACTCCTGGGCACTGCTAAATGCATCTGCCAGGGGTGATGGTCCCTTTTAGGGAGGTGGAGCCAGGGTCAGGCTGGGAGGAAGATGTGGGAGCATCTGAGGGTAACAAAGGTAAAATTGGGTGGGCCTGGCCTTGGAAGAAAGGAGAGAGGCATGTCCAGGGGGTCCTCCAGAGATCCCTCAAAGTCCTGATAAAGGAGAAGGCTGAGCCTAAGAAGTTACCAGAGGTGCTGTGACAGTAAAATCTCTGCTGTGGATTAGCCTGGCAGCATCCCCTGTCCCAGCAGGCTGATCTGGGGGCCAGGTCAGGATCATCTTGACTTGGATAAACTTGTTTTTCCAGGCCCAGCTGGGTTGTAAGCCCCAGATTTCTGTTTTGGGATGGGATGCTGAGAGCCAGGCTGGCCTGCGCAGTGCTGGGCTCCTGAGTCACGGCTCTCCCTGCCTGCAGCAGCCTGGACGCTGCCCAGGCTGCTCCTGAATCAGCAGAATCCCTCAGCCTGCTGTCCTCAGGCTGTCCTGGCTCTGCAGAGCAGGGCTGGCAGGAGCAGGGGCAGCTCTGCTTGCAGGGCACCCCTGCAGCCAGGCTGGCAGCAGGCTCTGCTCCCAGCCAGAGCTGCTGTCTGGGCTGTGTCTGCACCACAATTAACAGCTCTGCCAATTAACAGCTCTGCTCAGCTGCTGCTGGAGCTCCTCAAAGACCTTCTCGGGGGCAATGTGGGCAGAGCTGGTGTCTGTGGTGTCTGACAAGGGACCACAGAGCACCTTTGGCAGAACGTTTTGGATTCTGCTTAAAGCTTTGGGCTCAGTCTGTGTGTTTGCTCTAAGTTAGCTGAGATGCAGGGAGGGAGTGGTGTAAAGGGATGAGAACATGCACCAAATCCGTGCACTAAGTTGTGAAGAACATTCTGGATGGCACAAAGGTGCCCTTGTGGGTGGGCACTGGGACAGGGCTGCTTTAAAACCTTGCAGTCAGAGCTCAGGATGTTGCTGCCGGACACCTCTGATCTCATTTGGGAGAGAAGAGGGTGGAAAAAAGTGATGAAAGTTCTGTTACTGCTAGGGGAAGAACAGAATTCCCTAGAATGTGGAAAGCAAAGTGTGGAGGTTTTGTTCTCAGCCACCTGTGGCTCAGGGCAGAGGTGTTGTCCCGTTTCCCCAGGTGCTCCCCATTTCCAGCCTGAGCTCACTGGTAATTTTTAGAGGCGTTAACCAAGATTTGGGGGTAAGGGACAGGACAACTGTTGATTTATGAGTTTGAGCCTTGAAAGCTTTTTCTTCAGTACTGCTGCTGCTTCTTCCCTGACTCTTTCTTTGTCCCCAGGCTCTGACCCTCTGCGAGTGAGAAGAGAGGAGGATTCCAGCCCACCTGCCCCAGCTCCCCCCGGGTTTGATGCCAGCTGTGAGTGTTTCTTTGGCAGTGTCTTAGCTGGTTGTTGTGAGCAATAGTCAAGGAAGCAATCAGCAAGTATACTGCCCTAGAAGTGCTGCACATTGTTGGGCTTTGCCTCGGCCCTGCCCGGGGCTGGGACGCTGCCCAGGGGTCTCTGAGGAGCTGCAGCTGATGGCAGGAGTGCCACGGGACGCCTGATGCCACTGCAGAGAGGGGCGAGAAGAGCAGGAGGAGATGAACAAACACTCTGCTGCAAGTTTGGTTCTTTCTCTGTCCTTCCCCAGTGCCTCTGGAGGGCTCTGTTGCACCTTTCCCTGCAGCAGAGCTCTCCTCCTGCTGCCTTGCACTTCTTCTGGTCCAAATCCTTGTGGGAAACAGCTGGAGTGAGGCTCAGGGCAGCTGATGAGTGTTGTGACTTCTTTCCAGCTCGGGGCTCTCATTTTCAGCTTTTCTGTCTCACCTGTGCTAAAACCTGTGGGCAGCCCTTTCCCTCGCCCAGGGTGTTTGATTGGCACTAAAAGCTACACCCCAAAAATCCTACCATGGTGCAGTCCTTACCTTGCTATTATAGATAATGAGAATATTAGAAAAATACCAGTGAAAGTTCCACGAAGATCACTGCAGGGGCATTCTTTGCCTTCTGTGTAAATGCCCTTTCCAGTGCCCCCTCCCTCCGTGCTGGGCTGGGCTGGGCTCATGATCAGGTCTTAAATGCAACTTTTGATGTTTGTTGGTGGCATGCTCTGTTCCATTATGGAATGTACAATATTAATATCTTTATTTTTCTCCACACAGCTGCAGCATGAAGGAATATCCCATATTAATCCCCTAATTTAAATTTGAAATTAATAACTATCACAACACTGGGAGCATCCTTTAATCCATTGATTGCTGCTGGCTTGGTTCCAGCAGTGCCACTAATTACATTCTGCCTGCAAAAAAAAAAATCCTCATTGCTGGTGGCTTTTCTTCTGAGAGCTGCTGGCTGGAGTTCTTGTGCTGTGGCTGCAGCTTGGGACACTTTTTAATGCTAATGGCACTGTTGGAAATGACTGAGCATCTCTGCTTGCTGTGTGTGGGGTACAGACTCTGCTCTGGGGATGGGACAGGACAGACTCAATCCTCACCCAGCAGCTTTTTCCAGGGTCCTGTTTGTTCCTCCATCCCCACCCTGAGCCTGCCAACAGCTGAAGGTTTGTTACTCCAGGAGCTGCCTCTTGTGCTGGTCTGGTGAAAGGGCATTTCCAGAGGACTGGGAATAAATTAAAATAGCTTTAATTCAACTTTTCAGTTAGTGTATCCAGAGGATGTGGAACGAACTAAAAGTAGCTTTAATTCCCTCATTTTCAGTTCCTGTGATGGCATGAGGGTGCCTTGGGTGGCAGATCTGGCTCCTGGAGGAGAGTGGGAACTGCTGGAATTGAGGGTGGATGGAACTGCCTGCCTGCCTTGCTGCTCCTTTTCCTTGGTTGGACACGCAGGGAATGTATTTCCTTGTGGGTTTTTTACTTGAGTCTTCTGAATCTCCTTGAAGAAAGGTGTCTGGAGGGGGCAGCTGCTGAGAGATGCCTCTGAAGGCTCTGAGTGATCATTCTGGAATTTTCTGAGCAGCCCTGGATGTCTCTCAGCAGTGCTGTATCAAAAGCTGTCAGTATTGGTGTCTGTCCAAAATGGAAGAGTAGGGGTTAATGAAGTCAAGGATTAGGTCCTTAGTCTGTGCCAGGAGTGCAAGAAATGTACTTTTTTTTGTCACATGCTAGAAAAAGCCACAAAGGACAAGCCTGAGTGTTTCTCCTCTCTCAGGAGCCTTCCTTAACCCTGCTCCCCTGGCTTTGCCTTCAGCCCACGCAGCGACCCCGAGGATCAGGTGCTGACTTAGGAAACGCTCCCGTTCTCCTGGAAATGAAGAGCCCAGTGCTGGTAAAACTCTTGGCTGGCTTTCTTTCTGAACTGTGTTCCACTTCCAGAGTCAGTCTCTGTTTCAGCTTGTTCTCTCCTGGCTGGGGTCTCACACAAACCCTGGTGCTGAGGGTCTGTGGGAAATGGATTTCCAGGAAATTCCCTGTGCCAGGGAAGGTTGCAGGATGCATTTCATTCTGGATTGCCCTGAGAAGGGTGGGACTTGTGTGTCTTAGCTGTTCTCAGGCTGAGCCCTGAGGAGCTAAGGAGTGTAAGAAGCAATTGTTCTGCCTTCTGTGGTTGGAATCAGCTGTGTGGTGTTTGAGAGCTCAGACACTGAAGGGTCCTGGTTATTGCAGTGCTTTTTATTGATTATTGTACTGCTTTTTAACTCTTTTTAATGGGTTCAGTGAAACTGCACTCACCTTCTTTTCCAGGCTCCCACCTGAAAGTGCTGCCTGAGCTGAGGGTGTGATGCAGGTGCAGACAAAGGTGACCAAGGTGCCTTTGCTGCTGTTGGAGGCTCCTGCCTCTGTCAGAGGTGGGGAGGAGCTGGGAGAGCAGGACAGTGGAGCAGGACAGTGTGGTGGGAGAGGATTCACCCTGTGCCCGGGCCAGCAGTGACCTCCTGATGGTGCTGAGCCCGCTGGGCTGTGCTGGCACTGGGGGCAGAGGGGACAAACAAAACAAATGCTGCAGAGGTGGCATGTGGGGCAGTGTTAATGGCTCAGGAGAAGGTTCTCCTCCTCCATGGCCAGCCCAGAGCTTTGAGCGTTTCAGGGGAGTAAAACAGAGCCAGAGCAGAACTTCTGCCCGTGCGCTTTTCCCATGGAGTGTCTCCATCTCTGATAGAAGTGTCTCACTGCTGTGGCACCAGAGCCAGGAGAGCAGCAGGCCCTCTGAAGGCACTGTCTGTGATATGCAGAGGTGCTGTGGGGTCTCAGCTCCTGATCTTCACTTAAAAGCCCCAAGGCCCATGACCAGGTTCCCAGTTAATGGAGAACTGTGCCTCAGCCCAGCTTCCTACGCAGCTGCAAAGGCAAAGTAAAAACTTCTTGTTGAAACCATTTAAAAAATAATTTGAAGGTTATATCAGTACATTCTGTCTCACAGTGGAGGTAAATTTATGTAGTTACAGCTCATCCAGCGCTTTATAAGATGCAGAGTGCAGCCTGTGTGTCAGAAAGCTCTTTTGGTGGTTGGTGGGGTGAATTCCAGTCATTGAAAAAGATTATCTGTGTCTTTTCACCAAATACCATGTTCCTTTATCTCCCTATGCTGTAAAAAGCATCTGAAGGTGAAATTCTGAAAGGAAAATTTTCATTGTGTGCATTGCTATATGAAAAGCCACTTCCTTAGAGTTTTGTTCCTGAGCTATAGACAATGCTGCCTTTGAACTGAGACGTGTCTTTGGGCACTTCCCAAATATTCCTGTTCTCTGGGCAGCTGCAGATTCCTTGGGGCTGGAGGAGGAACAGCTGCTCCCCTGCCCTGCATGAGGAGGTGACAACATCAGGTGACAGCAGTGCCACAGAGATGCTGAACGTCCTGCAGGTGGAGGAGCTGAGAAAGTGGAAGGTGATGGGAATCTTTAGTAAGAATTATTTGCCTTTTGTCGCTCAGTTTTGAATCACAATCTCTTTGAGTATGGCCTGCTGTTGAGCAGTGACTTCTGTGTGCAAACTATTTTAGAAAGCAGGGAGAGACCCGGCAGAAAATCCTCTGCCTGTCCTATTTCTGATTGCTAAGGCAAAGATCCACTTCTCTGGTTTTTATTTCAACGATTTATGATGACCTGACGAGCCGTATTTTTTTTTAGAACTGAGGAAAAAGGAATATCTGAATCACAGCCACAAGTCAGTGGAAATGCAAGTTCTGGATTTATCTTGGTTCTCTATCTGGCAAGACTTAATTAAGCTGTGTTGTGGAGCCACATCCATCACCCAAAATAAAAGCAGTGCTCACTAGGCAGGGTGCTTGTCTGGATGTCTGTGGTAGGTGGGGCTTGTGCTATAAAAGTGGGGAAAAGGGAAACCAGGGAACAAGGAGGAGGCCAAGAATGTGTAAGAGCAACAACTGGGAATGCAGCCTCGACAAAGCTTTGTCTAGTGAGTTTTTTTGAGGGGTCGGATGGTATCAGATTAGTGTGAGGCAAATGCAAGTTGCTGCAGCTTCCGTTTCCTATAAGGAACATGCAGGAGGCATCACACTCCAAAATAAATTCCTAAAAAAGTAAAGGCTGTTTGACTGAAGTTTAACCGAGTGGTAATTAAGGTACCTTGGAAGAAGATGTCATTTCCAAAGGCAGCAGCTTGTGTATAAATCTGTGTGTAAATCCCGGTGGCTCTGGCTCAGCAGGGAGGAGAGCTGGAGGTGTCCGTGGGGGAGGCAGGAGACAACAGCAACGCGGGGGTTCATTCCTGCCTGGCTCCCGGCGGCCCGGGCGGGTTTTTTGAGTGAAAGATAAAAAGGGAAACACGATTTTCTGGGCTGCGGGGCCGCGGTGGGCGCGCTCCGTGCGCCCCGGCGGGAGCGGCTGCGGGCCGGGCCCGGTTCCGATCTCGGTTCTGATCTCGGTCCCGGTGCCGGTGGGGATCCCTCGGCAGCGAAGGGGCCGGGCCGGTCTCACATGACGGCGGGGGCGGGCCGGGCCCGCCGCTCCCGGGGCTCTCCTGCGCTGCCGAGCCGGCTCCGGGCTCCGGGCTCCGGCAGAGCGGGCCGGACACTGCGGCCGGAGCGGCCAGAGCGGGCCCGTCCCGCGGGGCTGCATCGCTCTGTCCCCTCGCTCCTCTCTGCTGTCCCCCGCTGTCCCCCCGCTCCATCCCACTGTCTCCCTGCTCCATCCCCCCGCTCCTCTCCGCTGTCCCCCAGCTCCATCCCGCTGTCTGTCCCTGCCGTCCCCCCGCTGTCCCCCCGCTGTCCCGGGCCATCCCCCTCTGTCCCTGCTGTCTGTCCCCTCGCTCCATCCCGCTGTCTGTCCCCCCGTCTGTCCCCGCCGTCCCCTCGCTCTCTGTCCCCCCGCTGTCCCCTCTATCCCCCCGTCTGTCCCCCGCTGTCTGTCCCCGCCGTCCCCTCGCTCTCTGTCCCCCCGCTCTCTGTCCCGGGCCATTCCCCCGCTGTCCCCGCTGTCCCCGCTGTCCCCGCTCTCTGTGCCCTCTCTCTGTCCCGGGCCATCCCCCCGCTCGCTGTCCCCGCTCTCTGTCCCCGCTGTCTGTCCCGGGCCATCCCCCCGGTGTCCCCGCTGTCTGTCCCCGCTGTCTGTCCCCGCTCGCTGTCCCCGCTCGCTGTCCCCGCTCGCTGTCCCCGCTCGCTGTCCCCGCTGTCTGTCCCCGCTCTCTGTTCCCTCTGTCCCCTCTCTCCGTCCCCCCTGTCCCCGCGCGGGATGTCCCCGCTGCCGCCCACGCGGCTGCCGCCGGCGGAGCGCGGGGCCGTGCTGCTGTCGTGCGCGCTGTCCTGCGCGGGCTCCGCGCTGCTGCTCGGCTCCCAGGCGCGCTGGCCGGAGCTGCGGACGCGGCCGCGGCAGCTGCTGCTGCAGCTCTCCCTGGCCGACCTGCTCTCCGCCCTCTCCTACTTCTACGGGGTGCTGCGGGACTTCCAGCGCACCTCGTGGGACTGCGTCCTGCAGGGCGCCCTGTCCACCTTCGCCAACACCAGCTCCTTCTTCTGGACCATGGCCATCGCCCTCTACCTGTACCTGACCCTCGTCAGGGGCTCGCCCGCGGGCACGGGCTTGCTCTGGGGCTTCCACGCCGTGAGGTGGGTGCTGTGTGCTGCCCCGGGACCCCCGGCCACCCCCACCTGACCTTTCCCCTCTCTCTCAGCCCCTACATTGTCAGGCTAGCCCAGAACATCAGGAGATGGGCAAAGATCTCCAAAAGAGGCTCTCACCCCGATGTGGTTGTCCAGCTCTTTATTGCATGGTCCAAGGGAAGAGCAGGGGAAAAGAGGGTGATCAGGAAGGGACATGGCCTTACCTCGGCTCTGGACACGGAGGGCTCTTTTGGCTCTCCACCAGCCCTGGTGGGGCTGGAAGGAGGGGTCCAGGTTTATCTGATCAGTGTCACAGGGGTCCTGGGGAATGGGGACACATGGCCTGAGCGCAGTGTAACACCCACCCTGCGCGGTGATGGAGCCTCGGGCATCTCTGCGCTTTCCTTCTCCTCTCCTTCCCCTCAGGTTCCTCCTGAACAGGGGTTTTGCTGTTTTTAACTAACCCACCCTGTTCCCCCTTTCCCTTCCCAAGTGAACAGGTGGAGATGTGGAAAAGTTGAAGTTTTTTTGTTCAAGGTTGCTTAAAAAAATCTCTTGTGAGTGCTAATGGCTGCAAATCCTTCTGCTTTCCCTGCAGTCTGCTCTGATGTTCTGGAACTAACATAACAAACTTTGTGTCTGTGATACCTGCCTGCTGCTGCCCAAGCTTCCGTGTTTGGGATCTGTTTCCACAGGTCCCCAACTTCCCTGTCAGCCTGGTCTGTGGATCCTTCCCCTCTGCCCAGGCAGGTTGCTGTAGTTCCATACTCACAGGAAAATGTTGCCCACAAGTGATGAAACTGCTAGAGAAGCACTCCGAAGGTTGTTTTGGCATGTTTGATTGCAAGCAAGACAAACCAGTCCACAGTGTAGCTTTATGTCTCAGTTTCTGCTATTTAGGGCACTGATTTTTCACAACATGTTTAGTAAAAGCTTTCATTATGCAATGGGAGCTTGTGGAATCATGTGCTACATCCACGCTGAGCAAAGCAGTGATCCTTTAGTCCCCCGTGTTGCCAAACTTTTGCAATAATTTATAAGAGGGGTGATCTGGTTTAAAAGGGGGGAAAAAAGCCCTCAGGACAAGTAGAGAATTTTCTTTGTTTTCTTAGTCAAATATTTGGCACCTTTATGTTTCAAACAGCATGGTTGCAGTAGAGCTGAGTCCAGGTGAGGATGGAGCAGGGAGACTTTGAGTGTGAAGCAGGGAGGAAGTTCAGCTCCTGCCCTGCTGGAGCTGCTGCCTGGTGGCAGGGGCTGTGAGAGGAGCTGGGGGTTCACAGGGCCCTGGGCATGCCAGGCTGCTGCTGCAGCTGGCACAAGAGGCACTGGAGGAGCATTTCTGTTATTCCACCTGCAGTAAATGGACAGTTGCACTCTGAGAGCTGCGGTGAGGACAGGGTGCTGGTAGAGAGCCACATGTTGCATAATGGATATCAAAATCAAGTCTGACTCCTTCCTGGGCATTCTGGCTCCATCAGGCACATCAAAGAGCTCAGGCAAATCTGGCCTAGTTGTAATTTCCCTGGCTGCTAATTGCTTGTGTGGCTTTTGTCTGTGCTTCAGTTTCTCCATCTGGTTTAATGCTGCTCAGCCCTGTCAGCTGCCAAGTGTGGAGAGAAACAGGGACACTGAACCAGTGCTGGCTGTAATCTGTGCACTCCCTAAAAACTGTAAAAATCCTGGGTGAGAGATTGCTCTAATCCCTGACCCGGAGGGAGAGGTGCTCAGGCTGAGCTTCTGGGTGAATTTGTTCCGTTTATTTTTGGTTCTTTACAATAAAAATGAAATGCCATCTTCAGTCCTTGCTATTGATCAGCACCATTTGCTCTGTTTAAAGGCTGTTGAGCACCTGTGATCAGGTTCTGCTTTGTAAATTCCTCCTGTTCTGTGCAGAGCCAGTGTTTAAAGCTGCCTCTGCTTTATGATGTGTCTGAAAAGCCAGAGACAAGTGAGGACGTGTTCTCTGCCCATCCCCTCGTGACACATCGTCCTGCTTTCCTTCCCTGCACTTTTGTACTTACCTGAGAAATGAAATTCTGGCCATAATGCTTGGAGATGGAGCTGACTAAATATATGTTGGAAGTCAGAACCTGGAATTTTCCTGAGGGAAACGGGGATGTCACAGTGGATCAGCCCCGTCAGACAGGTTTGTGCCACAGGGATGCCTGTGGTAACACCTCCACCAATTCTAGGCTGCAGAGCTGCAGCCTCTGCTTTGCTTTTAAACCTGTTGAGCTCAGATGAGCTTTGAAAACAAGCCCACAGGCAGCTTTGGAAACATTTACGTAGCTGCAAAATGTGAGTTCTGGCATCCAGCGTGCCACTGGCCAGGCTGCCTCACTGCTTCTGGATTTCCAAGTGTCAGGTGTCATCTGGCTGGAAAACATCACCTTTGTTGTGAGAGAAGCTGATCCAAACTCGGGTGAGGAATGGACCAGGCAGAGCCCACCTTGGGATTGTTTCCTGCTTGGCTTTTGATACCCACTGCTGACAACATTTGAAGGGTTTTCATTTCATGATCAGGCTGTGCAGATCATTACAACCATAAATTTGGGCAAATTTGGAGTTCTGGTTACAATGTGTGCTCAGGGCTCCTTCTTGGGCCTGCCTGGGATATCCAGGAGCCTGATTTTTCCCTCCTTACAGAGTAAAAATTCCTGTCCCCAGAAGGAACTGCCTGCAGGATGGCTCCTTGTCTAACCTGTGCAGGCAGGTGACAGCAAATCACCTGCTTGTGAGAACCTCTGGGGGAAAAAAATCAAATCAAAGCATAAATTAAAATGTGGTTATTGGGCAATCTGACCCCAGAAAACCAGGGCAGGTCGAGCTGAGCACTGCTGGAGCTGAAGGGTCCTCACCTTGCCTTGTTTTGCTGTGGCTGTGCAAAGATCTGCGGGGTTGGATGGTTTTTTATTCATAGATCACAGGAGCTGTATTGGAGGATTAATTACTGCTGTGTCTGTGTTACAGGTTGGATTTGCAGCCTTTTTGCAGGAAGGAGGAGTCATCTTCCCTTCTCTCCCACAATGTTTGCATCCAGGGGTGCTGGGGAGAGGCCCAGCCTGCATAATTGCTCTTTGGGGCTCAGAGAATATTTCTGCTTCTTTGTTATCTTGGATCCTTTTTATTCCAGTCCTTACACACACCTTGGGAGATGACCTGTCCTGGTTCTTCGGTTCCTCCACTCTCCTGGTGCAGTAAAAGCACTGACATTTGGCAGCCCTCCTGAATCTGTCACTTTGGAGCTCTGAAGAACAGCTGAATCACCAGTCTCAGTTCTCCTTTCCAGCCTGCTAAAATGGAGCTGAACTTCACAGAAATGTCTGGTTCCTTCCTAGGTCCTCTCTAATTTCACTTTGTTGGTGATCCTTTTGCCAGGTGTTAGTGGTAAATATCCATCTGATCCCAGAATGTTATTCCAGTGAAGATTAACTTCCTGTTAATGCAGCACTTTTATTCTTCCTTTCACCAGTTATCTCCTGAAGGTTTTTAAATCCCTTTCTCAGGGGTGAATTATTTCCTCCTGTGGCCTCTCTGTGTCTGTACTCTGTCCTGTCTAACATCCACACACCATTATTTGACCTGGTTTTGTCGTCATTCTTTTGCACTTTCAGCTCAGTGATGAGATCATTATTTAGGCAAATTACTTTCTTAATCCAGTTCCTTTTTCTTGCTGCCTTTGTGCCTTTACATGGTTTCTTTAAGGAAGTGCCATTTCTCTTGAATTCTCTACCTTAGTGCTTGCAGGAGTGCTGAGAATGGAATGTCCTTGCATTTGCAGTTGTTTTCTGAGAAATCACCGCTTTAACAAAAAGGACTCCTGGTTTAACAAAAAGGACTCCTGAATTGTGTGGAAACTTTCATGGTGGTGGTGACGTTTGGGATGTTTTTAGAAGTCTGCTCTGATAACAGAGTGGGGAGGGCTTTCTGCAGCACAACTGTCCTTAAATAACAGCACTGGCTTGGAATAGCACTGCCTGTTCTGAGCTGAGCCCCGAGACAAAATGTTCTAAACGGGCTGGAGAGTTGACTCTAAGTTTTTTTTACAGCCTTATATTTATATTTGTTTGTTTTGTGAGCAGGTGAATCCAGACATTATTTAAGAGTAGGAAATGGGGTATTTTTGAAATCTAATCTCATGGGATTATCTCTGGTTCTGCAGTTGGGCTATGGCATTTCAGATAACCCAGTCAAGGCAACAACTGCTGTTTGCCTACCTGGTCTGGTGTCTCTGATTTTTGGGGGCAAGCTCCTTCCCGTGCTCCCTGCAGCTGCTGCAGGCTGTCAGTGGAAGAGAGCAGGGCAGTCATGGGTTTGTTTCTGTGCTGGAAGCCCAGCCTGAGCCCCTGTCCCTCGCTGCGGGGTGGCCGTGGCCAGGGCAGGTGATGCCCCACAGGGGCACTCTTGTGGTGGAATTTTTGTTTGGGCTGCTGGGATTCCTCTGTTCTTCCTCGTGGTTTCTTGTGGGCAGCCCAAGCTGCTGAGTGACTTCATTCAAGTGTGTCACCACAGTTGTTTTTCTTCTAAAAGCTTCCCTGTATTTGCCTCTGCCACCAGTGAGAAGCCAAAGTCACCGGTGCAACTTATGTGGATGTGGCTCCTCTTTGCTTTCTTCGCTTTTTGCTGTTACTACCAGTACTTTTCCCTGCCTCTTTCTGCTTCAGAAATCATATTTTTGCTCCCAAAATACTGACTACATCTCCACTTAAAGCAAGCAAACAAACCACTGGCAGAACGAAGTTGTGGATTGCTTTGTGTGCAGAGTTTCACTTTGGAATCAGAAGGTGGGACTTGGCTGCTTGTGCTCCGAAAGCTCAGGATCAGCTGGCTGGGTCCTGCAGGAAAATCACATTTTACAATGCCCTGATCTTGGCAAATCCTCCACCTCCCTGTGTCCAGGAGGGAGCGGAGAAGGGAGAAGGGCAGGAGGTGGGATGGGTCTTGCTGCCCTGGCTGTGCTGGGAGGGCCAGCTCAGAGCGCAGCACATCCCTGCACCCTGCCCTCAGGGCTGGCTCACACTCCCACCAGGTCCCCAGGAGGTGGATTTGCAGCCCTGGCCCATTCACTGCCCAGAACCTGCTGGCCACTTCCCCTCCCCTGGTGCAGCAGTGCTGCTGGTCTGGGATAGGCACTGGAATCCTGTCTGGGGGAGAATCCCTGGGTCTGCACCCACTTCCTGAGGTGTGGGGGGCTCAGCTGAGGATGCTCCTGGCTTAACCCCCTTCTCTGTGTCCCCTCCCAGCTGGGGTGTCCCCCTGGCCATCACGGTGGCCGCTGTGGCTCTGAAGAAGATTGGCTACGACGCCTCCAACGTTTCTGTGGGCTGGTGCTGGGTCAACCTGGATGCTGAGGATCGGCTCCTGTGGATGCTGCTGACGGGGAAGGTCTGGGAGATCCTGGCCTATGTCACCCTGCCAGTGCTCTACATCCTCATCAAGAAGCACATTAACAGAGCAGTGAGTATTTTGCTGGGTGATTCCATCCCTCCACGCTCCGCATTTCTTGCTCCTTGTTCAGGCAGGAGGTGCTTCATGACACTGAAATGTCCCTGGGAGAAGCGGTGCCCTGATCCAGCAGCACCAGCACACAGTGACTTAGCACAAGCAGAATGTGAAAGCCCTTTGAAAACGAGCAGGGGCTGTGGGATGTTCATGAGGGAAATGCTACAGTAAGAATTGAAAGAGAATGTGAAGGACAAATTCAGCTTTAATCAGTTTTCTGCAGTTCCACTTGTTCCAAGATTGGAATTCTCAAGCCTCAGTCCTTTTAGTGCCTCCAATGATAGTTTGTGTTTGTGAATGTTATTTTGTAGTGGCAGCTCCAAGCTCCATTTGGGAGTTCAGGCACTGGGTGGCTCTGGGCACCATGCAGGAGACTGCCTGTCCTAGCAGGGTTTGGAATTCAGAGCTTCAGTCCTTGCTGTTCCTTGTGAACACACAGAATCCAGGCATCTAGGACAGCATTTGCATAACAGACAAACCCAGATGAGAGTGGCACCACCCAGAGATTCCTTTTCTCTCTGAGCTGGGTCAGGGAAAAAAGCCCCAGGTGTGGGTAGATGTCCCTCTGGAAATTCCTGCCTCTGCTTGTGGTGCAGCTGTGGTGGTGGTGGGGATGAGCACAGCCCTGGGTAGGGCAGGATCCTGCAGAGGGGTTGAAGAGTGAGGTGGTTTTCACAGCCCCGAGTGTCCTGGGACGGGGAGGGGAGGGCAGCAGAGCTGGGGAGGGTTTGCTGGTGCCTGTCAGCATCAGCTGGTGTGCAGCAGGCAGGACACGGTGTCCCAGCCCGGGCAGAGAGAGCAGTGGCACCGCCGGGAAAGCTGGCCCGGGCTCCTGCCTCTGCCAGACACTGCTGGGCACTGCTGGGAACACTGCTGGGCACTGCTGGGAACACTGCTGGGCACTGCTGGGCACTGCAGGGAGCACTGCTGGGAGCACTGCTGGGAGCACTGCTGGGAGCACTGCTGGGCACTGCTGGGAGCACTGCTGGGAGCACTGCTGGGAGCACTGCTGGGCACTGCTGGGCACTGCTGGGCACTGCTGGGAGCACTGCTGGGCACTGCTGGGAGCACTGCAGGGCACTGCAGGGGCAGCTGGCCCCGTTCTGCCCCGGCCTTTAGAGCGGCACAGGGAGCAGTGCCACCGCCTCCTTCAGCAGGAGTGTTGGTGTTCCCGAAGGCAGAATGTCCCTGCTGCTCTTCACGGCACCTGCTCCCTCCTGAGGGGCTCCTCTGCTCCGTGAGGAGCCCTGGAGCTGCCCCGTGTCCGCAGGCTCGGGCCCTGTGCCCATCCCTGTCCCCGTCCCGCAGCACGCCGCGCTCTCCGAGTATCGCCCCATCCTGCCCGGAGCCCCGGCCCTGCAGCCCCGCGCCAGCGTGGCGGACAAGAAGCTGATCCTCATCCCCGTCATCTTCATCTTCCTCCGCATCTGGAGCACGGTGCGCTTCGTGCTGACGCTCTGCGGCTCCCCCGCCGTGCAGAACCCCGTCCTGGTTGTCCTGCACGTGAGTGTTTGCCCGGAGAGGTGTCCCGGGCCGGGTCAGCTTTGGTGCTCCCGGTGTCTTGGGAGAGCTGCAAGAGCTCCTGCTGCCCTCAGGGCATGCCTGGCAGCAGCAGTGCTGCAGCAGAGGCAGAAGTGCAGCAGGAGCTGCAGCAGGAGCGGTTCCAGCAGCATCTAGTGGCTGCAGAGGAAAGCTGCACTGGCAGGGTGCTGCTGTCGAGGCAGGACAGGAATGAGAAGACTCTGACTCAGAAGGCTGCTGAGAGTAAAACTCTGATTTATTCAAAATACACTGCTCTTTAATACAGAGCTTCACAAAGGCCAAATCCATTGGTTCTGAAGTGAAAACAACCCAAGCATTGGTGCTGAGTGCTTGACACACAGTGATAGAACATAACTATAGACAATGTGAGAGCAAGAGAGATAAAGAATTATTTATATTCTCTCCAGCTCTTTCTCAGGCGTTTGCCTGGCTAGAAACTCTCAGTTTCTCTCTTTGATTGAACCTGAGTGCCACAGCAGGGAGGGACAGGGACAGCTCTGCGGGAATGTTGGGTGTCCCTCCTCCAGCAGGGCTCAGCCTGCGCCTGCCCTACAGCAGTGCCAGCACACCACAGCCCCTGCTCTGCTTTTGGGTGCTTTTTGGGGAAAATCCAGCTCAATTTAATCTGTCATGCTGTTTGCTGTTCTCTGGGGTGGCGGTGGGAGCAGCCCCGGGTGATTCCTTTCCTGCAGGGCAATGGGATTCCTTTCTCGCAGGGAATTGGGAACACGTTCCAAGGAGGAGCCAACTGCGTCCTGTTCGTGCTGTGCACGCGGGCGGTGCGGGCCCGGCTGCGGGGCCTGCTGTGCTGCGGCCTGCGGGCCTGGCCCGGCCTGCGCGCCCCCGGCTCCGGCCAGCAGCCCCACGGGGACGGGGACGGGGACAGGGACCGGCCTGACCCCGGCCCGGCGAAGCCGCTGCTCCCCAGCACCTGAGCTGGCCCTGGATGCTGCTGGTTGCTTCTCTCAAGGTAAAATGCCAGAGTAAAGGTTTCCTCCTGCCCTGCCTGTGCACCCCTGGGAGGGCTGGGGACAGGGACAGGGTCAGGGGACAGGGAACAGGGGACAGGGAGCAGGGACAGGGGACAGGGGACAGGGACATGGAGCAGTCATAGGGGACAGTCACAGGGAGCAGGGACCGGGGACAGGGACATGGAGCAGTCACAGGGAACAGGGACATGGAGCAGTCATAGGGGACAGTCACAGGGAGCAGGGACAAGGGACAGGGACATGGAGCAGTCACAGGGGACAGGGAGCAATCACAGGGAGCAGGCATAGGGGACAGGGAGCAGTCAGAGGGGACAGGGAACAGGGACATGGAGCAGTCATAGGGGACAGGGACAAGAGAGCAGGGACAGGGACAGGGGACAGGGACATGGAGCAGACACAGGGCGCAGGGACAGGGACATGGAGCAGTCATAGGGGACAGTCACAGGGAGCAGGGAGCAGTCAAAGAGGACAGGGAGCAGGGAGCAGTCAAAGAGGACAGGGAGCAGGCATAGGGAGCAGGGACAGGAAGCAGGGACAGGGAGCAGGGACAGGGGACAGGGACATGGAGCAGTCACAGGGAGCAGGGACAGGGGACAGGGACATGGAGCAGTCACAGGGAGTTCTGCTGCGGCTCTGGGGGTTCCCTGTCTGACTCTGCAGCCCCATCACGCTCCCAGAGCGTTTCCAGAGCTGCCTGTGAAAGGAGGAACTGGGCTGCAGGGCTGTCTGGCCCACAGGAACGGGGCACCAGGCAGGGCTGAAGAGGAACTGGTGGCCCTTTTTAGTGTGAAGTGCCACCTGCACACATGTTTTGTCAGTACTGCACAGATCAGATGTTTGGTGCCCCAATTTCTCCCCACAGGGGGATGCCTCTGTGGGCAGAGGTGACTCCTGTTCTTTCCTGAAGCCTTGGCATCCCCTTTATAATTATATTAGTATATTTAAACCCTAATGTGCACAGGCTGTGTAAACACCCATGAGAATGGCTCTGCTCCTCAGCCTCCCTGGAGTCTTTGAAAGGCAGATGGAAGCATCTTATCTGTGCCATAGAGGACTTCAAGAGTTGTTTTTTCTCCTTTCAAAAGGCTTTTAGAAACTTCTGAAAGCTAAACAGCAACCTTGATAGCTCAACCTCTTGTGAGTCCCACAAGGCTTGGAAAGAGGAGATATGTTAAACTTCTTGCAGAAAGGTAGGATAGAAATGTTTAAATTTTATGAGACTCAGTATCGTGCTGTGTTCAGTTTGTTTTGGAGCCAGCCCTGAAGAGAGAAAGTAGAATTGTCACCAACTTGGCTTAAGGGAAGACAAAACAGCAGAAAAAACAACATCAAAAATAATCAAAACAGATTCCATGTCCTCAGTTCACCTTTTTCCAATACAGAGCTCTGAGAAATGCTTTTGGAGAGTGGGCCAGGGTTCCAATTCCAGCTCCAGGGGTGTGACTGTGCCTTGTTCCTGCAGGTGTGGGGTGATGGCACAGCCCTGCAGTGTCACTGTCCTGTCCCTGCAGGTGCAGGGAGCTGGCACAGCCCTGCAGTGTCACTGTCACTGTCCCTGCAATGTCACTGTCGCTGTCCCTGCAGTGTCACTGTCACTGTCCCTGCAGTGTCACTGTCCTGTCCTGCAGGTGCAGGGAGCTGGCACAGCCCCACAGAGGGAGCTGCAGCCTGGGGAAAGCGGCGCTGGAGAGTTCTGAGCCCTGGACAGGTCCCTGCTCCTCAGCTGCGTGGGGATCCCCTGGAACAGACTGCACCCCGGTTTATCTCCCCTCCTTCCCTCGGAGCTGAACACTTGTCTGGGGTCTCGCTTGCTGTGCCTGGTGAGTTCTGGGCTGAACAAACCCCAGGGAGCTGCTGGAAGGACTGGCCTGGCCTGGCTCTCACTGGAGCTGTGGGAGCCCTCCCGGGGGCTCCAGCCTGGCTCTGTTCCTCACCTGAACAGGGACAAAATAATGTTTTTTCGTGGTGCTGATGGCTGGTGCCTCTGGATGTTTATCCCTCCTCCGTGGTGTTTAGGGGCTGCCACCACTGGGGTTTGTGGTGGCAGAGGGGGGGTTCTGAGGGACTCGGAGCCCTGCAGGCTCCCTGGTGCTCAGGGATGTGGGGATGTGCCCCAGGCTCCAGCAGCAGGACAGTGCCTGCCCCAGAGCTCAGAGCTCCTGGCCTTTGTCTGTGCCTTGGGACTGCTGCATCAGCCTGGGGAAGGGCTGGAGAGAATGTTTTACCTCATTCACAGCTCCTCAGTAGCTCGTTTTTAAAGTATTTTCTCCAACTTGGACAAAATAAAGCTCAGTTTCTTTACCAGGACACTGCCCAGCGTTGCATTTGTGCAGCACAGACAGGATCTTGGTCCCAGAGCCTGGCTCTGCTGCTGCTCCCTGCAGAGCCCTTCCTTCTGCTGGGGCTCAGCCTCAAATCTCCCTCTCCGTGTTTGACTGGAAGCCACTTGGACAGTGGTAAAGCAGGGTCTGTGTATGGCTTATTTTCAGGCAGATAATTAATTTCTGAAATCCTTGTTTCACCTAAAGTCCCATTGTAGCTCAGAATATTGAATTAGCTTTGCCTGAACATGCAATTCCTTCCCAAAATGCAGGTGAGAGGGTGTCACTTGTGGATATATCGTGAGGGATGTCTCCTCAGGGTGGGCATTGCAATGAGCACCCTGCAGCAGGGCTGGCTGCCAGCTCCTGCTCAAACATCACATTTCAGAGCTCACCACTAACGTTCTCCAGCACATTTACTGTCCTGCAAACTTAAGTTTTCCCTCTTAATCATTTTCTTCCCCCCAAAGATATCAGGGTTTCAGAGGATCAGAGCACAGATCATTAGGCTGAGGGTAAATAAATCAATCCCTGCAGGGGAACTCTTCCCATGAGCTGGGTGAGGGCAGGGGGGGCACGGAGCAGAGTGGAAGTCTCCAGGCACACAAGCTCTGGGGTGAAGAGCAGATGTAAAACTTGGGATGTGCTGCAGCTGAGATGGAAAATGTGCTTGTAAAATGCCTGTAAAATCAGCTCTTTGCTCGTTCCTGGCTCTGTCCTTTGCCAAGTCCAACAGGATCCCAGCTGCTGAAGATGTCACACCCCTGCAAATGCTTTGAAAATCCAAGGAGCTGATTTACTATCCTGTCTCCCTTCACCAACCTCTTCCAAGATCATCCCAGGGCCAATTGCAACCACAGAGATGTTGTTGCCACACTCCTGCTGTGTTCAGAAAATATTTCAACTGTTCTGCTGCCATAAGCAAATATTTATTCTGATGAAGGGGTTTTGATGACAAACATGTGTGTTCTCTGATTCCTGCATGTTTCAAGATGATTTCTTCAAGTTCAGGAGCAGAGTTTAAAGACCATGATAGAGAAATCTCCTTGCCTGTATTTACTGAGTGTCAGAGCAGCTGTTACTCTGCCAAGAGCTCCCAGAGGGTGATACTGCCTTTAAAGGACTGGAATTCCACGATGGAAATTTGTCCTCTTTGCAGTTTTTCCCCAACTCTGGGGCAGAATTTTCCCTCTTGGCCTAAGATCTGTAAAGGTGAGGACAGCAGGAGCTGCTGAGTGAGCAGTGGGCTCAGTAGCTGTGACACAGGAGTGGTCCCCACCAGCACACCTGGGAGCAGTGCCCTCAGGCTGTTCACTGAAAAGAAATTCGATAAAAGAGAAAAGCCAAGGAATCTGGGGACTGAATTCCTCCACACTGAGAGCAGGGCTCTGCTCTTCCTCCTGCTTCAGGCCATGCTGCTTCCACGTGGAGGAGGAGATGCTGCAGCCAGCCAGCAGGACACGTGGGAAGAGGTGTTGCTCAAGAGATGCCTTTATTCTCAACTGGCTGGTAAAAATAGACAGACCAATAAAGAGCAGGTTTTGTTCCAGTTTATGCCGTCTCTGAACTTTGCATTTCTCTGATAAACTCTGGAGTTGCAGTGGGTGATTAACCAGGTCCTGGGCTCTGAAAGCAATCCCATAACAGAGGAGGGTAACAGAGAGGCAGCAGCACGTTGTGCATCCCTTGCATGGACAGGGAGAGGAACTGAGGTGCTCTGGAGCAGACACGGCCACAGCTCTGGAGGAGGAGCAGCAGTGCCTGAGCCAGCTGGTCCCTGCAAGGTAGGACAAGGAGCAGCATTTTGGGGGGATTTTGGGGTTCAGCTGCAGGGCTGTGGCTCGGGGCCAACACCCTCTGTTGCCAGGGCTGCTGCCCACATTCCGTGATGCCACAGAGGCAACGCCCCTGGCTGTGCCACCCCAGTGCCCAGGGGCTGCAGCTCCAGGGACTCTCCTGGTCCATATGTCCAGATATCGGGGGAAATTGGCTCATTTTCACTTTGGTGAAAGTCTGCCTCTTCTCCTTGGAGAGATGAGCCTGTGCTCCCTCTCGCTGGGCAGCACCTCTGTTTGAGACAGGATCTGGTAAAAGAACATCTGGCAACAGGGTTGGAAGAAAATGAAATTTTAGTTATGGGAGAGACAGGCAGAGGAAGGGGATGATCAATCAGTGCCTTATCTGGTGTGACAGAGTCTGTCACTGGTTGGAAGGGTTTGGGAGAGTCACAGGAGGGGTTTTTCTGTGCAGAGCATTTCCATGCCCATGACTGGGAGAAGCTGTGCTCAGCATCTGTGACCCGCACCCCGACATGGAGCTGAAAGGAGGGAAGCAGGACAGCTCCGAGGGCAGTGAAGGTGCCAAGGGGGTGAGTATGCTGCCTGCTCCAGCCTGAGTCTCCCCAGGGATCCAGGATAAGCCCTGGGCATCTGTGGGTACCTGTAAAGAGAGGAAAAGACCCTGATGGTTTGGGCTGAGATGTTTCTATTCTTGAGCCCAGTTTGTGTCTATCAGTTCACTGAGTGATTGTCTGCAGCTCTCCCACCCCATGACTTCTGTGGCACTTTCCCTTCTGTGTTTTCTTTCCCATTTTCCGATCCCTTTGAGGCTGCAGATGCTTCTGGATGGGGCTGCCTTTCGCAGCAGTGTTTGGGGAGTCTTGCACAACGCACTGCTGGGGAATGCCAGAGGTTTTCTTGATGTCAATAATTAACACCAGTGGCTCTTTTGAGCTCCTGGGATTTGGTTAATGAGAGCAAGGCAGCTGCTTTTCTTCATCAGTGAGAGAATGTCAGCAGTGTCCTCCCAGAAAACGGACCTGGAAGCCTGAGCTTCCTTCCAATGCTTGAATTTCGATCTCCTGTAACACCTTAAACTCTGCAGATCCCTGGAGCTGAGCTGCCAGGGATTCTGAGGAATAGAAGGAAGCACCAGCAGCTATTTGGACAAATGTTCAATTAGGGAAATGGCAGAGGCCTCTGAGTGCTGGGACAGAAAACCTCGCAGACATTAAGGCCATTAAGGCTGGTAACGGTGGCAGCAAACGAGATGAAAATGAAAAATGACTTTATTGATGTAGCAGCAGTGAGATGCATTAGTGAGCTATAAAACCCAGCCAAACAAAACCCCAACAACCCAACTCTGTCAACACAGCCGGGGGAGCTGCAGGGCAGCTAAACTGTTGGGAAAAGCAAGTGGTTTTGGTTGTTTGTGCTGCTGGGGAGTGTGTGCCCACAATGGGGTGTTGATCCCGCTCCAGATGGCAACTCCCCTCCTCTGTTCTAGGGCAGCTCTTGTACCCCGCAGCCAAGCCCTCGGGGGTTGCCTGGATAAATCCAAATTGGCTTCAGTGGCAATCAGTTAGATCCATAAATAGCTCTAGCCCAAAATGCAGAGGAAGAAAAACAAACAGGAAAGAGATCTTGCCACTTGATGCAAAAATCACTTCCTTGTAAAGCTTTCCTGTGCCAATATCCTGTGTTATTCCACTGCCCAATTTGCACATTGGAAAAGAATAATTGCATATAACCTTTTTCCCTGCAGGGTGGTGTTTTAAGAATGGTAACTTGAAAAAAAAAATTAATCATCTGAATGATTCATCGATACCAGCAAAGCAGAGTGAATTACTCTAATGACTGTGGGCATATCAAGCAGAACAAAATGAGTTGTAATGGAAACAACCCATTGGGCTTTTATATGCAGCAAAACGAAGGCATAAATACAGAAAGCAAGACTTTGTGTATTTCTTTGTTTTTACTGAATGCTATTAATGCCTAAGAGCCAGACTCACTTCCAAGGTGGTGTTCATGGTTTTTTCTCTCCCTCTGCAGAAAATGACACTTCCCCTGGCCCTGGTGGCTCTGATCTCTGCCTTTGGCTCTTCCTTCCAGTACGGCTACAACGTGTCTGTGATCAACTCTCCTGCCCCGGTGAGTGAGCGGGGTCAGAGCAGAGCGAGGCAGATGAAAGATTATGGAAATTAAATGTACTTTGTGGGTGCTTGTGGGCACGGCCTTGTCCTCCCCCTCCAGGAACCAGGCATATCCTCAAGGGCAGGACAGCCTCTAGGAGCACAGGCTTCTCCATCCTTTCCACCCCAGGCTTCTCCATCCCTCTCCTGCATTCATTTCCCAGCTCACCCATTCTGGTTTTTCCTCAAGACAGTTGTTTTATGGCAGAGCTTTACGGCAGCTGTTGTTATCTAACCCTCAGAGCACGAAAATCGTTCTCACTGTGCCCAATCTGCTTTGTGCTTCCTTCCAGTACGTGCAGGGCTTTTACAACAGGACCTACCTGGACAGGACTGGAGTGCCCATGGACAGAGGCTTGCAGACGCTGCTCTGGTCTCTCACTGTGTCCATGTTCCCTCTGGGTGGCCTCTTTGGGTCACTCATGGTGTGGCCTATGGTCAACAGCTGTGGCAGGTAAGTGGGAGCCCTGCCCGAGGTCCTGCCCGAGGTCCTGCCCTGGCTCTGGGAGCAGATAACACTCAGCTCCGGTGACTCCACCTTGCCCTGCCCTTCAGCAGCCTGGAATTCCCCCACACACCCTGAGGATGAGGAGGAGCTGCTGGGCTCAGCCACAGGAGTTATCTCCCCAGTGGGAAGGAATTTATGGGCTTCTGGTACGGCCAAGGCTGTGGGCTGGGCACTGAGCCAGCGGGGAAGGAAAGTCCTGGGGTCTCAGATCAGGCCCAGCTTCTGCTGCTCAGGTTTCCTGAGAAACTTCACTTCTTTCTGGAAGCCTTCATTGCCTGTAGGAAAAATGTGGCAATTGCCATTTCCTCCTTGGAAGCGTTTGGCATGATGATTAATTTGAGTTTTGGACAGCGTGGCACAGAGGGGATCTTCCTGCTGAATCTACCTCTCCTCCTGTTACTTTGCAGAAAGGGCACTTTGCTGATAAATAACCTCTTTTCCATCGCTGCTGCAATCCTTATGGGAACCTCAGAGCTGGCAAAAACCTTTGAAGTAATCATCCTTTCCC